CCTGCCCCGCGTCTGGGACCGGTTATAATCCCAGACAAGCTCTGTGGTTGGCCCTGTGCCTTCCAGACCACCGGGGATTCCTTCTAAGAAGTATATCAGTTCCTTTGTCCCTTACGGGGTTGGAGGAGGATGGAATCTCTCTCTCTCCCGCTCTCCCTCCCTCTGCAAGGCAAGGCCTTCATAGCCCGTCACAGTGCAGTCCCAAAACACCCCATGACACCCCAAAACCCCACCGCCTTCTGCGAGTCAAGGAGAGAAAGAACTATTTGGTAAAGTCTGAGGAGTTTTTGCAACTCCTGCACAAACCAGTTGTTCCCCAGCATGGTTGCTTCTGCTGCACAGCTGGAGATGGAGGAGGGGATGCCCTCACTCTCTGGCTCAGCCTGTGAGGGGAACAGTGTTAGCCTAGGCATGGCTACTCAGAGGAAAACCCCACTGAGTTCTGTGGCATTTACTCTCAGGTAATCACATATAACAGGGTTCAACAGCATCCAGGGATCCCTGGGGGCACTCCTCCCCTTGGGCCCAGGTAATGGGCATACCCCTGCCCCAAACCACTGCCACATTTCTTACCAAAATCTGGAGAGTGCAAAAATGCAGCAGTCATGCTTTCAAAGAAAGACTGTAGCTACTGCACCACACAGAATGGCAGTGTGGTGTAGTGGTTAGAGTTCCAGTCTCTGCTCAGTCATGGAACCAACAGGGTGTCTTTGGGCTAGTTGTGGGCTCTCAGTCTATCCTCCTCAGATGGTTGTTGTATAGATGAAATGGAAAGGAGAACCTTGGAAACCACCTTGGATTCCTTGCATGAAGAATGAGCTCAGGATATTAATGTAATAAATGCATCAATACATGCTCCATAGTTTAAATTAGAACTGTTTTGTTTTGCTTTTGCGTGCTGTGGAATGCAGCACAGGGTCAGTTCCGACTGTGGAAAGGCCAGTCTGCAGCTACATGTAGCTCGTTTCCTGGATGTTGGTGACCTGTGGTCAGTAAGACCACATTGCACGCTCTTTCTCACAAACAGTGGGATTGTTTCCGTGTGTGCAGACAAATAGCAATCCCGCACCTGTAACACACACATTTTTTTACGGGCCATTTTATTTCTGCAAAGGCAGGGCCTTCTCGTGGTTGCCCTCCCAAGAGAGATACAGCTGGTTCCACCTGTGGATGCTCTTAAGAGATTTCTCGGAACATGCCCGGTCTACCTGGTTTTTAACTGAAAAGGTTTGATGGCATTTGCTCCTGGTAGAGAGCTGAAGTTGTCTTTTACTTAAAAATTGCTTAAATTTAACGTGCTGTCATTATTTGGGTGATTTCAAATGGTACTGTTTGTATGCAGTCAGATTCCTTGGGAAGGCCAGTTTTGGAAAGCAGCTATAATATATAAAATAGATAAAATTTTCTTTTAAAAATGCCTGTGCTTTAGAGAGACTTAGTCTGTCATTTCAGCTTCATGGCTGTTTCAGAGGCTAACTACAGAACTGGGTGGGAGATGTTCATTTCAGCCAAAACAGGGGGAGTTCCTCATTTTGACTCTGAATCTGTATTTTCTTCAGATTTAGCATCGTTTTAGAGATAGAGCGCATGTTCAGTCAAAAAAAACTAACAAGAAAGAAAGATGAGGAGGGAGGGAGGGAAACATTGCTGCAAGGGGAAAGCAGAATACTTGCTTTTCCAGCATTTGTGTGTGATGGCAACATTAGTTATAAATACAGAGGCCTCGGAATGAGATAAGCGGCTTCTTTTAAACAAGCCTTTGAAAACAATTTGAGAGTGTGTAAATTCAAAGAGAGAGAGAGAGGCTGAGACTGTTTTATGCAATTTAGGCAGGTAGTGGAAAGTTAGTTTTTACCACCCCCCCCCCCCACAGCCCAATTCTGTACATGTCTACCCAGTAACAAGACTCTATTTTCCATGAAGTATCCTCATATCTAGATAAAGTAAAGTGAGTTCAGTACAAAGGGAGGGAGAAGGAAAGTTCAGAACACTTTACAAGGTACTAAGAAGGGCAATCCATTTTTCTGGTTCTTGGTGTTTGTTTCCAAGGACTGTCTTCATCAACACGTTGTACCTGCCTATTGAATCTATAAGTCCTGCGCTTCTTCCAGTTGTGCAGCACTCTGTGCAGTGAGGCAAAGAGAGGGCAGGCCACTGCTCCAGAAATCCCTGCCAGCCACTCTCTCGTTATGGCAAGAGCCAAGGCACAAGAGCAGCAGGTGGGAATCTCCAGAACACCTGCTGGAAGCGGCAGGGCAGCTGGGTGGCAGCAGGCCCTCCCAGGAGGCAGGAGGGAAGAGTGCGATTCTCTGCGTCTCCCACTGTGCCACCTGATGCAGGGGCCTCCCCCTGCTCCATGGAAGAGTCAGTCCCGAAGGAGTTAGACACCATGGTACCAAGCAGGAGGAGCTGGAGTGCACAGCAAAGGATGGATGAGACCGAGCAGGGCATTGCGCAAAGCATCCGATGGCCTGCCTTATTGTATAGCCTTATCATGGACCTCTCCCATTGTTTATTCTGCAGCTAATCACATGTGACGCCATTGTTTGCCAAAGCTGAGATGGACACAGTATGGAGGACAAGAGAGAATTTGTTTGACAGCAGATTAGCAGTTTAATCCAGCAGGCAGATGAAAGGGCAAGGCCAAAATGACCTTGTTCGCAGTGAATGTCAGGTGTTTACAAGGGCGGCCTTCAACTAAACGCTGCAGTAGGGAGTGTTCCTGTGCAGTCAGCCAGTCACACCCTTTTCTAGGGGGACTCAATTCCATTAGAACGCTCTGCACATCGCGTTCTAATGGAATAGTCCGGGCGTACCTGCAACTAGGAGGCCATCCAAGTCAGGACCTTGCCGGAGTTGCATGGCAAGATCAGTGGGTAACCTTGAGCCAGGCACTAGTTAAGGGAAAGAATGCAAAGAATACAAATGCATAAATAACATGTTTTATTTATTAATATTTATTTATTTAAAACATTTCTATGCCGCCCCATTCGCCGAAGCCTCGGGGCGGCTCACAACATAAATTAAAATATAATACATTAAAAATATAAAACAAATTAACAATATAAAATAAGTCGCCCTGGCCAGATAAAATAAGCAAATAATATTAACAATTAAAATGACGTTTAAATAAAAAGGTCTTAGCCTGGCGCCGAAAAACAAATAATGACGGTGCCAGGCGGACGTCTCTGGGGAGTGCATTCCATAGATTGGGCGCCACCGCAGAGAAAGCCCTCCTCCGAGTACCTACCCTCCTAATTTCTTTCACGGAGGGTTCCCAGAGAAGGGCCTCTCCCGCAGATCTCAAGGGGCGGGCAGGCATATATGGACGTAAGCGCTCCTTCAGGTAACCAGGACCCAAGCCATTTAGGGCTTTATAGGTCATCACCAACAGCTTGAATTGGGCCCGGACTTTTCTCAGTGGAGCAATGGAAGCAGCAAGGACCCACGGGGTTCCATATTGAGAACAATGCTTTTCATCTTATTCACAAATGATCTGGAATTACTGGGGAGCAGTGAAGCAGTCAAATTTGCTTATGACACCGAATTACTCGCATGGTTAAAACAAAAAGCAAGTGCAAGAAGCTGTAAAACCTCTCCAAACCGGGAGAATCAGCATCAAAATCATGAAGGTAGTTCTTTGTAAATGTGCAGTGGTGCAAATAGGGGCAAAAGGACCAAAACTCAGGTATGTGGAATCTGAGTGAAGTTCCAAGAAGGTAGGTCTCAGAGTAGGAAAATCCCTAGTTAGCTAAGACACTGTCTAAGGTCCACAGGGTGGATCCCCACAATCTCCATGCTTCCTTTCAGACGGCGCACTCACCTGAAAGTGAAAGAAAGAAAATGAGTGATGTTAGATCATGCATGATAGTAGATCTATTTACGAACTGGTTAATAAAGGTATTATATCTGGGTCACACACAAACACACATTAATTCTTATTAAACTCCTATTTCAAATGCTAACTGCTCATAAACACTGTTTTCTATGATCACATAAAGACAATGCAGATGGCTGTGTGTATTTTCTCGGAATCATAGAATAACAGGTCGGAAGGGGCCAAGAAGGTCCTTGGGCCCAATCCCCTGCTGGTACAGGACACCAGTTCCAGCATCCCACTCAGATAATCTGGGAGCCCTCCTGCTTGATCTGCTGTCCCAAAGTCCTGCCCCATTTTCTACGCAAATTAATCCCACAGCCCTCCCCTGCCATGGCTGCCACTAACCTTGCCCCATTCAGAGGTGATGTCAGCGGTCTGCCTGCTAAGGCTGAAGCCCTGAATCTTTCCTTTGGAGCTCCAGAGCTCTGGGAGGCCATCTGCCCCGCTGCCTGGGCACTTGCCCCATTGCTTTCTGGAGCAGCTGCTTCCACTGGATTAGCGGCTCTTTCCCCAGATGTGCTTCGCCTCGGCCGGCCTGCCCCCACCCAAGTGGAATCTGTCTACCTGGAAATCTCGCTCTTTCTTTCTTTCTGTCTTTCTGTCTTTCTTTCTGCAATTAGATGCCCTCTCCCATCCATACAACCCTTAGTATAAACAGTGTCCTTAAGAAACACGATCCGATAGAGAGAGAGAGAGAGAGAGAGAGAGAGAGAGAGAGAGAGAGAGAGAGAGAGAGAGAGAGAGAGAGAGAGACTGGTACGTTCCTCTTCCCAAGTCCTGTGGCCCAGACCCTTGGGTCTCCTCGGAACCGATCCCAGCCCTGCTGCCCTTTCAACTCCCGACCGCTCTGCAGAGGTCCCCAAGGGCAAGAAGGCCGTCCTGCGCCCCCGCCCCGCCGCCGCCGCCGCCTTCGCTTTTTTGTTCCGAAGCGCGACAGACTAGAGCCACGTTCCCAGGCCAGCCTATCGGGACGCGGCTCTTGTTCACATCAAAAGCAAATATGCTAATAGGTCCCGCTCGCTGGGGGCGCTGATTGGCTGGTTGATTTCGAAGGGGCGGGGCTGGAGAAGTCAGGATCAGTTTCTAAAGCCGCGCAGAATGTGTCGCCCGGACACAGTCCGTTCCCGGGCCGGGCGCTGGCGGGCAGCCGCGGGTTGCGCTCACGGCGCGCGTCGGACTCGGCTGCGGGCAGAGTTCTCTCCGCGCTCCCGCTCCTTCCCCTTCTTCTCCCGCGCCGCTCCGAGAAGGAAAGCTTGTTCTTATTGCGATTGCCGCCCTTGATCGTTATGACGGTGCCTTTATTTCTGCTCTTGGCGAAGCGCTGAACGCCGGCCGAAGGGCGGTCGGAGCGCGCGGCGCAGCCGGAGAGCGGCGGCTGAGACCCTCTTCCGTTCCGCCCGCCGCGCTGCCCTGCTTCGTGCCGCTTTGTCTTCCCTTTCGCGGGCGGCCGCGCCGGGAACGCTGATGCACCCGTTCCAGTGGTGTAACGGTAAGCGCGCCGCTTAGCGGGGCCGGGACGGGGTCGTGCGTGGCGGAGCCCCGTGCGCCACCCCCGCCCCCACAACAACAACAACACCCTCCATCCTCCGCACGCGGGCCGAGTGCCTTGTCCGAGCCGAGCCGAGCCGGGGCGGAGCAGGGCAGCGGGAGCGAGCGAGCGAGCGGCCTCCGTGAGCAGAGTCCCCGGATCGTTTGGACAGGATCAGAGAAGCCCGCTGGGAGAGATTTGGGAGGGGAGAGGAGTCTTCCGCGCGAGGGAAGCCTTGCCCAGCTGGGCCCGGGCTCTTTGTTCCCACTTGCAGACCCCCCCCCCCGCCGGCCCGCCCGCCCCCGAGATGCCCAGTGCGTGTCCCGCGCATCCCGTCCGGGGTCGCCGCCGAGCCGTCCAAGCCTTAAGATGTGCGCGGCTCTGTCGCACTGGAACGCTCGCTTAGCGGCTTCCTGGCGTTTCGCCGGCCCTCTTAAAGATGTTGTCTCACTGTAACTTCTCTTGTTTTTTTGGGGGGGGGGGGGGATTGGAAGGATCCTAATGGGCTCATCAGGCTAAATTGTTCCTTTCCCTCATATTGCCTTAAAAGCATAGCTCCGTCTTTTAACAGTAAAGTTCCACACATGCCCACCCAGGAGAAAGTCCCAGGGAGTTCAGTGGAGAGAAATAGGTACAGAATTACTGTTTGCCATTTTCAACCTGGCTTTTTTCCTTTTGCAAGGAATCCAAGGAAACTTACATAATCCTCCACTCCATTTTTATCCTTGCAACAATCCTGTAAAGCAGGTTAGGTTAAGAGAGACTGACGGGGTCAGAGTGACCCTGTGAGCTTCGCAGCTGTGCGGGCACCAGAACCCGGTCTCCCAAGTCCCGGCCCACAATGACATGATGCTAACAGGCAGCTTTTAAACGAATCTAATAAATAAGCTAATCCTCTGTGCCTCACTGGCAGCTGTAAACGCAAATTCCCACCATCAGTATTCTTTTTTGATCCTCTTGACATGAATAATAATAATTAATAAAGGTACCAGAAAACACAAGTCGGAAGAGGCTGCTGCACTCACCTCCTGCATGGGGATTTCCTGTGGGTAGCCACAGATGCTGGACTTGGAGGACCCTTGGTTCAAACCCACAGGGCTCTTCTTGGGCTGTCCACCCCACTTTTCCACAAAGATCTATGCCCAAACCAACTTGCACCTATTAAATCATCAGCAGAATACAGAACAATAAAACAGATCAAAAGTGCAATCTCCAAATGACAAATGAAGCAGTAACTGGTGAGGATATATTTCTACAGAGACATTTCTTGTGAATGTCAAGTCTATCTCTTGCTAAATAGCTTTTGAACTCATCCTGGGCCTTTGCCTTCTCATTCCAAGGGTAGAAGTTCTTGTCCAAAGGATGGCTGCATCACTGGCATGGTTTCTGTTCCACTAAAACTCCCCCCACCATAAGCTTTGTATTTCCTTTGGGATTCCCCCCTCCAGCCCCAAACACACACTGGAGGAGGGAAGAGTTGAGAATGAATGGCTCACCCACAGGCAGTAGGGGGCAAGAAATGTGAAATTCTCCATCTGGAGAGGGGAGGAGCATCTTAAAATCCTATTTTGCTGCTGCTTTTTGTGAGGAAGGTTTTGTTCAGAAGGTCTAGCAGATGGTGACTGCTTTTGTAAATGGCTAATGGTTAATTAAAAGGAGCAGAGCCCTGCTTGGGATGAGCCTAGATTAATTATTTCAAGCTGCTTTTGTTCTTCCTTCCCTCTTGCCTACCCCACCACAAATCTCCCTCTGTAGCTTCATGAAATTTAACCAGCAACCTCTGCGAAATGTGCTTCAAAGACAATGGAAGGGAAAGGAAGCAAGAAGAGAGAAGAGAGACAAGGTTTATTTTGAGTACACACAGGCATTGTGGCATCAAAGTCAGTGACTCCATTAACCTCACATACTTTGCTAGCTAGTCCCCCCCACTTTTTGTCTGGAATTGGAACAGAGCTGTAAGAAGAAGAAGAAAGGACAGAGGAACATAAGGATATGGTAGTGGCTCTCCAGAGTTTCAGGCACGAGTTTTTCCTGCCCCACCTGGAGATTCCAGAACGCAGATCTGGGGCCTACTGAATGCATAGCATCACTAAGCTACAGCTTTCCTGTCTTTTCACTCTCTGGGCCTGCTGCAATAAAGTAACAACTGAAAGCAGATTTTTCCCCTTAATCCCCTCCTTGGGAATCTGTATATAATCTTGGCACTGCCATTGGTAAGGAACAGAAGTTGATTCCTTTTTATCTGTAGATGGCTTGCTGGTTCAATAACCAAGCGTACTTCACTGAGGGTTCTTATTGGTCCAGCTGGATAAGCATCATCTGAATTGGACTAACAACTCTCGTGTGCATTTGCCCGGGAACAGGCGCCAAGGTGGAATCTGACTGCCTTCTCCAAACAGGTGCACACCAGCTGTTTTTGAACTGCAACTCCCAGCATTCCTGACCATTGGCCAAGCTGAGCAGGGCTACTGGGAGGCCCTTGGAAAGCAGCAAGTCTCTCTAAGGCTTAGTGCAGCATTGGGGGCGCTCCTGTGGTCCAGAAGCCATGCTTCTCCAGGCACAAAAGGCATCTAGCAACTTTGCCTTGTCTTGTGCTTTCATCAGAGCAAAATATTGTCGTGCCGTTGGTGAGCTGGCAGGTGCCTTTGTGAATCAGTGCCTAGGCACCTGAGTGTAAATGGTTGATAGAAAAGCATGCCTTGTACATTGGGAGGGGATCTGCTCCTGATGGACTGAAATCTGGGCCCGGGTTCAAGTTCCAGCTCTGTTGCTGACTTGCAGGAGGACCGGTAGGCAAGTTGCTATTCTCGATATCTCATTTCCTGCTGCAAAGCAGGGATGCTAGTGATCTACTTCACAGAGCTGTCGTAAGCTTGAGCAATTCAAAGCCAGACTCAGCTTTCAAACACTGCAGATTAGTGGTGGACACCTGTGAGCCTGCACAGAGACCTTCACCAAGTAAGATGAACCAGTTTTCTCACTGCTGGGATTTACACTCAAGATTGCCAAGGTGCAGTTGCCAGGTTGTGGACCAAAAGAGATGTGATGTAGGCAATCCATAATCAACCTTTGTGCTGAGTCTTTCTTCCAAGAACCTCCGGGCTACCTGCATTTTTTCTCCCGCCTTTATCTTTTTTATGGGCTAGCAAGTCCAGCAGCAATACAACACAGCTTTAAAGGAATTGAGGCAGAAATGCTCCAATTCTTAAATTAGATTGGTGGGGAGAGAGAAAGGAAATGTTTAATCCATTCTGCCCCACTGCCCCAGCATACCATGCCAGTTTTGCAATATAATTTCTTCAGTCTGATTAAAAGCACAGCTCCCTGTGACTGTTTTATGGGAATGAAAGAAGGGAAGGCTTGGCGATTCTCTCACAGATCGCTCCTGTTGTGTCTGATTTGGCCCTTAGAATGTGAGCCCTGAATGAAGCACTTGTGATAGAGAAGGCATTATCATTAATAATTAAGAACCAGAGCCTCAGGTCTTTAAATCTTAAAGAAAGTAAAAGCTTTGGGCTTTTAAGGCATGAGGCACTAAAAACAGAGAGGAGTCATAGGCAGAAAGTTGTCAGGATGGAATCTCCAGTCCAAAAGAATTTGGTAGCAGGCGCCTTCCACCTTCCTTCTCCACCTCAGACCTGGCAGGGCTCTTCCCAGTCACTGATCATCAGCCGGATTCCATCATGGTCCCCTCCAGATCTTTGGGACTACAACTCCCAAGAATTCTGGGAAGTATAGTCCAAAACATCTGGAAGGGGAGGATGTTGTAGAGACCATGAGGCTGAGCCTGGTAGAAGGTAACCTCCCTATTTTCCTAAGAGAAAGACAATGCTTTTTTTCTGGGATATGGCCATCCTCAAAGCAGGGGAAATCTACACAGCTGAAGTACCAATCCTCATGCAGCAGCCAAAACCCTACCACCCATGTACAAGAAGTTGGTATCAGGCAGGCTTGAGGAGATCCTAGGTTCGGCAGAAGTACAAAGTTTAGTGACAAAATACAAAACTTGCCAACAAGTGATTGCAGAACAATGAGTGAGTGTTGGTAGGGGTAGAAACGCTGTGCAGGCAGGTACACCCTTGGAAAGGGCCTGGCTGTGTGGAACTCTGAACAACACCTCTCCTGCTGCACCGCTTTCTTGGACCCCTCTGTACCCCCCCTGCCCCCAGTAATGTCTGGTATAGCCATACCAGGGATTGGAAGAAACCCATGGATGAGTTATGAGTTTGAGCAAGATATATTTTCCTAAACATGTACAGGATGGTTTTGCTTCTGCAAATGAGTCAAAAATATAGAAATTGCTCTATTTTTCTGAATAGCATGAAGCAAGAGAGTTTCACGCTGTCGTGGGGATGTCTAACAATAGAAAATTGCATCTGCCTCATCATCCAGATCTTGATTGATGCTCTCCTGGTTCAATGCAGATTCTGAATGTGGTCCAGGAGAGCAATTTGCTTCAATCCCACTCATTCCACAGAGCATTCCCTTCACAAAGCAGGAGACTCGGGACTCTGCAATGCAAAAACCGTCTTGCACTTTGGGCCAATGCAGAGTTGTCTAAAGAGGCAGATGATGCTCCACTGGCAGTGTCCTGGTGCCCTGACCTTCACCTGCAGTGACAGATCGGCTAGCGGGCTGCAGTATCCAATACAGGGGCAGGGGTGGGGGGCTTCCATCTTTCCTGAAGAAGCCGATAGCAGCTGGGAGCTGAGAACCACTGTGTTCAGGGAAAGGCTGAAGAGCGTTGGCTGGGATGACCAGCTGCAGTTGTGTAGGGGGCAAGGGTCGGGGAGAACAGCCTGGCCTGTTTGTTATGCCTCCAACAGGCCTTTGGTCGGCAGCAATTAGTCAGCATCACCTGGTCATTCCTGCAAGTCAAGCCTCTGCTAAAGCAAAATGACAGGGGACTGTTTCCCAAGTTGGCAACTTAAATGCGGTTAAACAAAACAAAACCAGCTTCT